TATTCTTTTTTGTGGTGTCTTTACCCGGTTTTGGTATCAGGGTTATGCTGGCTTCATAGAATGAGTTTGGGAGTATTCCATCCTTTTCTATGCTCTGAAAAACCTTTAGTAGTAGTGGTGTTAACTCTTCTCTGAAAGTTTGGTAGAATTCTACAGTGAAACCCTCCAGGCCAGGGCTTTTTTTGTTGGGAGTTTTTAAATTACCTTTTCAATCTCTTCTTTTGTTATAGGTTTAGGTTTATTTTGTTGTTCTACCTCTGTTTGTGTTAGTTTGGGTAGGTAGTGTGTTTCTAGAAATTTGTCCATTTTCTCTAGGTTTTCAGATTTGTTAGAGTATAATTTTTCATAGTATTCTGTTATGATTCTTTTAATTTCAGTTGGGTCTGTTGTGCTGTCACCCATCTCATTTCTTATTCAGGTTATTTGCTTCCTCTTCTGTTTTTCTTTTGTCAGTTTGGCCAATGGTTATCAATTTTGTTGATCTTTTCAAAGAACCAGCTTTTGGTCTTGCTAACTCTTTCAGTTGTTCTTCTATTTTCAGTTTCATTTAATTCTGCTCAAATTTTTATTATTTGCTTTCTTCTGGTGCCTGAGGGCTTCTTTTGCTGCTCTTTCTATTTGAGTTGAAGGGTTAATGTTTTGATTTTGGCCCTTTTTTGTTTTTGGATGTGTGCATTTATTGCTATAAATCGACCTCTGAGCACTGCTTTTGATGTACCCTAAAGGTTCTTGTAGGATATGTTTTCATTCTTATTTGATTCTGTGAATTTCTTTATTCCGTCCTTAATTTCTTCTATAACCCAGTAGTTTTTGAGCAAGGTATTGTTCAGTTTCCATACGGTTTCATTTTTTTCCTTTCTCTTCCTGTTATTGATTTCTACTTTTATGGCTTTATGGTCAGAAAAGATGCTTTGTAATATTTCGATGCTTTGGATTCTGTTAAGGCTTGCTTTATGGCCTAATATGTAATCTATTCTGGAGAATGTTCCATGTGTGTTGGAAAAGAAAGTATACTTGGCTGCTTTTGAATGGAGTGTTGTGAATTTATCTGTGAGATCAAGTTGGTTGATTGTGGCATTTAGATCTTCCGTGTCTTTATTGAGCTTCTTTCTGGATGTTCTGTCCTTCATCGAAAGTGGTGTCTTAAAGTCTCCTACTATTACTGTGGAGTTGTCTATCTCTCTTTTCAATGCCGATAGATTTTATTTTATGTATTTTGGAGCCCTGTCATTGGATACATAAATATTTAATTATGGTTATGTCCTCCTGGTGTATTATGTAGTGTCCTTCCTTACCCTTTGTGGTGGCTTTTACTTTAAAGTCTATTTTGTCAGAGATTAATATTGCCACTCCTTCTCTTTTTTGATTGTTGTTTGCTTGATGTATTTTTTTCCATCCTTTGAGTTTTAGTTTGTTTTTGTCTTTGAATCTAAGGTCTCTTGTATGCAGCATATAGACAG